CCCGCAGGGCGCCCCGGAGGGCCGGCCGCTGTGCGCGCCTCCGCGGCCGCTGGGACCTGGGGCCGCGGGGAGCAAAGCTTAGCAACGCGCCGCGCACCGCTCGTTTGTGTGCCTGGCCGGTGGACGGAATCCGGCCGTGCCACGACCCAGTGCTCCGCCAGCGCCAGCTCGCGGGAGGCCCGGGATCCAGCCCCAGCCCCGCAGAGAAAAAGCTCAGAGCGTTGGGAGTTCCTTCCCGTGGAAGGAAGGGCAGGGGATGGAAGGGCAAAAGACTAGGGGGAGAGTGCGTCCGCGGTGCTGCCCGGCCGCCACTGCTTTATTTTATTACATTCCTATTGTGTGCACTTCAGCGAATGTGGAGAAAGATCAGTTCTGTCTCCACCAGGTGGGTCCCAGGGATCAATTCAAGTCACAGTTGGCGGCTGGCGCCTTTTCCCCGATGAGTCATACCGGCAAGGTTTACGAGCTTTGGGGCAGGAGTACATAATGCTGGTCCATTCGGGTGGATTTCCGGAGATGGGGACTGGAGTGTAGGTGAAACAACCTTTCCCGCCTCCCTGCCCAAACACAGACCACAAAACCAGAACTGTTTGATCATAAATTTTATTCCCGATGCGGGACAGATTCTTTCCACTCACGTGTTGCCCTGGAAAGGCCTAGGAAGCTCCCACTCCAGGGAAAGGCAGAGTAAGGTGGGGACCAGGAACGTTTTACAGTCCCCAGCTCTCACCCTCCCTTCTCAAGAGGATAGTTGTTCCCGACTATCATCCCTTTCATCCATTCAATTAAAAAGAAAAAACCATTAACAAAACAAAAGACACCGGAAGCACTGGGCAGGGTGTCCCTGTCCTCAGCTGGACATCAAGTTATGGGTCACCGGAGGGGGGGTGCATCACTGCTTCTGCTGGAGGGCTTCCTTCCTTGCCGCGTCCTGTAGCAGCTGTGTGTCCACCTCGTCGGCCGGCAGCTGCACATAGCGGACCACTGAGCCCCTGATGAAGCAGTTCTTGACTGATAGCTGGGAACAGACAAAGGGGGAAGCACCTCCATGAAGAATGTGTCCCCAGCCACCCAGGGCCTCTTGCTTTCAAGGTTCCTCCTCCTCGCTAGCCCCAACTCACCATGTGAGGGTACTTCTCAGGGTCTGTGACACTGATGTCGGTTAGTTTGATATTGAGGTACTACGAAAGAGGAACACCATGATTAACCCTAGAGACAAGACGCAGGAATCCACCTCCACTCTCCCATTGTTCCCCATGTACACACTGAACCTTCACTACATCTCACCTGGTCCACAGAGTGGAGGGTTCCACAGATGCTGTCAAGGGCAAAGAGGGAAGAACCAAATTAATTTACACTGAAACCAGCATGGAGGGACGTTAGAGCTAAAACTAGAATGTGGGGGAGAAGCCAAGGCCGTGAAGCAGAGAAGGGAGAGCCACAGACGGCATCTGTGAACTCGGAACGGGAAAGATAAAGCCTCTCAGAATGGTTCACATCACAGACACAAGTCTCCCCTTCCACCAGCTTATCAACAGCTACTACTCAACGGTTGCAGGCCAGGCCTGTATTCTGCTTAATATTTGTATTTCCTTTTTAAGGCAGGTTCCCACTCTTGGGCCCAGGCGGATCTCAAACTGTGGCAATCCTCCTGCCTCCGCTTCTGAAGTCTGGAACTATGGACAGGAGCCACCATTTACAGTCTTCTTTTTTGTTTTTTCGAGACAGGGTTTCTCTGTGCAGCTTTGGTGTCTTTCCTGGGACTCACTCTGTAGCAGTCATCTTTTTTATGTTTATTTTTTCGTGACAGTATTCTTTGTGTAGCCTAGGCTGTCCTAAACTACCTCTGTAGACCAGGCTGGCCTTGGACTCCCAGAGCTCTGCCTCTGAGGGCTGGGATTAAGGGGAGAGCACCACCACTGCCCTGCTGGAACCATCTTGTACAAAGTAATTAATACCACCCAGGGGTTCAGGTCATCTAAGTTACCAAATTTAGAACAAACAAGCAGGGATGTGACACATCAGCTGAGTCCCAGAAGCATCAGCTGTTTTTAAAATACTGATTTTGTGTGTCTGTGCATGTGGGCACCTACTGAGGCCAGCAGAGGGCATCAGATCCCCTGAAGCTTAGTTACAGTGGGATGTATGCAGCCCAACAAACACAAGACCACTTAATGGAGTCCCTGGGAACTGAGCTCCAGTTCTCTGGAACAGCAGCAGCTTTTCTAACCAGTCACCCCTCCAGCTCCACCAACAGCTATTTCTAAACACGTACTGCTTTGGGGCCAGAGCCCTATGTCTACACAAAGGAGCTAAACTTACTTCTTTATTCTTTCCTGAATGACTAAGAAGCAAAATGTACAAGGAGGCAGTAGATGCAGATGCAGTACAGAGCGACCGTATTAGTGTTCTATTTACATTTTCTTTAACTAAATGGATACTATGCCATGTATGCTATATCCAACTGCTTTCCCTACCAAAACAGCCCATTCCTTTGTTGATGGGTTTTATTAGGGAAGTGCTCCCTATTGAATTTTAACTAACCTCTTACATTTTGAGGGGTTAATGATAGATATTTAAATTATTTAAAAGTTTTGGCTATTTACAAAGCTTCAAGCATCTCGTATATTTTCTCCAAGAGTACAATAAGCATATTTATTAGCATTACTGTTCACTTAGCATGTTTTAAAGAGCATGGTGCGAGTCTGCCTGCACATATATATTTACTTGTGAAACAAATTCTTTTCTTTATTGAGACAGGGTTTCTCCAGGAACTCACTCTGTAGACCAGGCTGGCCTCACAGAGATCCGCCTGCCTCTGCCTCCTGAGTGCTAGGATTAAAGGCGTGCGCCACCATGCCCAGCAATCTTAAACTAATCTTTACCCTACAGGCACAAGCTATTTATTTCTTCTGTGTTCGGCTCACCTGCTCTCTCAAATAACTTTAAGGAGAAAAAAGGGTTCAGGACCCCGGGCACCCCCACCTTCCACCAACTCTGCTATAGGTACCTACCTCAGGTCATTCTTGAGTTCCACGACCACATCCTTGCCCACAAGGGATTTGAAAAAGGAATAGAAGAGCTATTGGAAGAGAGGGAGGGAGGGGTAACTATCACATGAAAAGTCCGAGGAGGAACCCCGGGCCGGCATTGTGAAATACCAGTGTCTGTGTCCCCACCGACTACAGCACCTCTCAAAAGTCCACGACCAACCACGAGCTGTTCACAGATATTCCGCAGCTCACTGACCGCAGACAGTGACGGCCCTGTACCCCTCGGCGCCGGGGCCCCCTCTCAGAGCCGCCCGCCCGCAGGGAACCTGTACATCTTCTCCAGTGAAACGCAGACCGCACCCCACCCGCACCCTGAGTCCTGATCTGCAGCAGGGAGACGCAAGGCCGGCTTTCCGGTCTCCCGCGGGGCCCGTGGGCTTGCTCTTGGACTTGTTGGGAGTTTTCCCCAAAAGACCATTGGCTCTGGGGCGTCTCCCCAAGGAGAGGCGTGAGCACCGAGGGAGACGCCGGGGCCCGGCTCCAGCCGAAGCCACGGAGCGCCCGCCGGCCCGGCACAGTTCGAACTGCCCGCGGCGGCGGCGGCGCTCGCTTTTGACGTCACGGTACCCACCATGGTGCTGGCGCCACGCGCGGCGGCCGGGGCCGCGGAGGGAAGGGCCGGGGGTCGCGGGCCTGAGGCCGGGCGGGAGCCCGCGCGCGAGCCCGCGCGTGGGGCAGGGCAGGCTCACGCAGGCGCAAGGGGGAGCCGCGAAAATCGCCGGACCGAGGGCGCGCGGCTGAACCCGGGCTCTAAGGGAGCGGAGTGGGGAAGAGCGGAGAGGACCGCCAAACCGAGAGAGGGGCGGGCCTTCCGGTCTCCCACTTCCTCCAGGGCAGCGGCTTCCTGCTGCGCATGCGTGCGCCGTGCCGCTGCGCGTTCAAGGTAGTTCGGCCCTGGCCTGGGGACTTTTTTCTTTAGCCTGATTTGCTCATACCCTGCTCTCCTATTGAGAACTGTTGAGAAGCTTGAGAAAACTACGATTTGCGTATTCTCTGATGAGTGAAAATTAAAATGTTGCCAAGATCTGGGCAGGGTTGATGCCCTCCTGGACTCCTGGTGAGAGCCGAGAGAGACAGCTTGATTCTGGCTAAGAGGACAAACTGGAGCTACCATAGCAAGACCTGTGTCAAAGGGAGCAAAATGCACATCAACACTCACTGTTATGCTGTGTGGTGTGGGTGTGCGGGGGCGGGGGACAGAGAGAAATAAAAGGGGGGCCTGAAGACAAATCCTGACTTTTTTTCTTTAAGATTTATTTATTATGTATACAGTATTCTGCCTGCATGTATGTCTACAGGCCAGAAGAGGGTGCCAGATCTCATCACAGATGGTTGTGAGCCACCATGTGGTTGCTGGGAATTGAACTCAGGACCTCTGGAAGAGCAGTCAGTGCTCTTAACCTCTGAGCCATCTCTCCAGCCCCCCAATTTTTTTTCCTTAACTTTTATGTGTATGGATGTATTTGCCTGCATATTAGGTCTGCACTTTTTGAGTGTAGATAAGAAGAAGGTTTCAGAAGACCTGGGATTGAAGTTATAGACTGTTGTGAGCCACCTTGTGGGTGCTGGGAATAGAACCTGGGTCCTCTGGAAGAGCAACAAATGCTCTTAACTGCTGAGTCACCCCTCCAGCCCTGAAGTATTTTGTAATAGCTCACCTCCAAATACTACTTTGGATGTTCTGGGAACAACATTAACAGGCTTGAAACATTCCGATTGTGAAGGAGTTCACAAGAGGTGACTGATAAAAATGGAGAATTTTAATAAAAGATGCCACAAAAGCCTCAGCAGGAAACAGGTGCAGAAACCCACAGCCAAACATTAGGCGGAGCTCCAGGAATCCTTCAGAAGAGGGGAAGGAAAGATTGTAGGAGCCAGAGGGGATAAGGACACCACTAGAAAACCCACAGAACCAACTAACGTGGGCTCAGAGAGGCTCACAGAGACTGAACTCACAACCAGGGAGCCTGCATGGGACTGACCTCTCCATATGTGTTATGGTTGGTAGCTTGATCCTCTTGTGAGACTCCTAACAGAGGGAACCGGGATGTCTCTGTCTCTTTTGCCCGCTTTTGAGACCATTTTACTCCTATTTGGTCACCTTGTCCAGGCTTAACATGAAGGGGAGGTGCCTAGTCTTAGTGCAACTGGATATGCCATGTTTGGTTGATAGCCTTGGGAGGCCTGCCCTTTTCGGAAGGGAAACAAGAGGAGTGGATGGGTGGGTTGTGGGGCTGCTGTTAGTTATAATACATTAGGGGGGGGGGACAAAAGCCTCATCAGGCAAGTTCCCAGAGAAGGGATGGTGCTACCGGGGAAAGGAAAGGCTTTGTTGTTGTTTTTAATAATAATTAAGTGGGAAGTTGCTAGGTTGTATCTGTGGGACACTTGTGTGGGAATCATGTCTGGATATATAGGGAAAGGCTTGCTGTTTCGATGATGAATGTTTTGTGTTGTCTCTTCTCGAGGCAGGCTGTAGGTACAAAACTTCTGAGCATCTGGCCTGCTGATTACAGGGTAGAATTCTCTACAATGTGCCAGGATGCCAAAATAGAGGGTAGCCAGGGTTTCCTGTGTGTGTGTGTGTGTGTGTGTGTGTGTGTGTGTGTGTGTGTGTGTGTGTGTGTAGGGGGGCTGAAGCATGCAGGCCTGTGCAGGCCAGAGATGGACTCTGGCTTCAACCACTTTCCACCTTGTTTAAGTTTTTTTACATTTTATGTGTAAAGGTGTTTTGTTGCACGGGTGTGTGCCGTTTGTGCAGTGCCCCCAGAGACCAGAAGAGAAGCTTGGGTCTTCTGAAGTTATAGACAGGTGTTAGCCACCAGAGAGGTGCTGGGAATCAAACCCTGATCCTCTGGAAGAGCAATAAATATTCTTAACCACTAAGCCGTCTCTCTAGACCCCATCTCATTGTTTGAGATAGGGTCTGTCATGAATCCTGGATCTGACTGGTTCATTCAGCTGGACTGACTCGTCTGCAAGACCCAAGGATCCTTCTCACTTTGCTTCCCCAGTTCTGGGGTTACCGGTGGTAGATGTAACCAACCGTCTTATTAAATAAGAAACACAGAACCAATGCAAAGAGGAAAGCCAAGAGGTCAGAGCTAAGAGCTAAAACCTTACCCTTCCTCCTGCGGTGGTCCTACCTCTCCGAACCAGAGCTACTTCCTGTGTCTGTCTTTTTATAGTGTTTCTGTTCTGCCTTCTCATTGGTTGTAAACCCAACCACATGACCCCCTCGTCACAGCCTGTCTGTATAGACCTCCAGGTTTTCTATTGATTGGTATTGAGATTAAAGGCATGTGTATACAATACTGGCTGTATCCCTAAACACACAGAGACTTACCTAGCTCTGCCTACCAAGTGCTGGGATTACAAGCGTATTCCACCACTGCCCTGCTTTCCTATGGCTTGCTAATAGCTCTGACCCCCAGGCAACTTTATTTATTAACATACAAATAACATTTGAATACAAATAAAATATCACCATACCGGTGCACATCACTGTGTTCAGATCTGGATCCATCAAGATCTGAACAGCAGGATCTGTTACCAGGTTTAGCAGAATCCTTAACACTTGAACCTAAACCAATCTGTCATTAATTAGAAGCGGCAGCCACATAACTGTGGCTAACGCAAGTTCTTCATATGGGCCCAGGGTGTCTGAGAATTAGGAAATATTTTCTTGGCAGGTATAATGTTCTGTAATTCCAGTCACCATGGAAGTAGAGGCAGCATGAACAGGAGTTCAAAGCAGACCTAGGCTATATAAGACCCTGTCTCAAAAAATAATAATAATAATTTTGTTGGAGACACTGAACTTGCACAAATCCAAGAACTTTGCCCTTAGCAGGCTAATCGTTCACAGTGAAGTCACAAACAGAAAATTCATGTCCTGTGTGAGCTCCCCTCTCTCTCTTTTTTTGGTTTTTTGAGACAGGGTTTCTCTGTGTAGCTTTGCAGCCTATCCTAGAACACAATCTGTAGCCCAGGCTGGCCTCGAACTCACAGAGATCCGCCTGGCTCTGCCTCCCGAGTGCTGGGATTAAAGGCGGGCGTCACCACTGCCCAGCTGTGAGCTCCTCTCTCTTACTTTACAGGGAACATTGGACAGTTAAAGATGCCAGGAAGTAAGCTGGTTGAGGGGGGGAGCAGGTTAAGAACACTTATTGCTCTTCCAGAGGATCAGGGTTTGATACAGAGTGTTTGAGGCTAACCTAGAAACCCTGCCTCCAAAACACAAAGCTGGGCATGGCGGTGCATGCCTGTAATCTCAGAACGCAGGTGGCAGAGACAGGAGCATTGCTGCAAGTGAGGGGACAAAGTGGCCTGCATGGGGTCAAGTAAGCGAGACATACACAGTAAGGCCGTGACTAAATAAACACATCAAAAGACATCGGGAGTTATTTCCTTTGGGAACAACTTTACTGAGAGACAAATAACCATCCACACAGGAAGGAGAAAGGTGGGGTGTGGCTCATAAATAACAGACATCCAAATTCTTCAAATGGTTCCAAGAGGGGCCTGGTTTTCCTAAAGGTCATTTCAGGGTCATAGACAGAGGGCGGGGGCATGAGAAGATGGAGTACAGACTTCCCCATCAGAGTCCCAAAGGATGGCGACGGAGGCTCAAGTGCAGTCACTTCCAGAGTCAGAGTGATGTTTGAAGGTGAATAAGATTCACCTAGAGGCTCCCTAGCACCCTGTGGTTCCAGAAAAGGCTAATCCACCTCCTCGATGGTGGGGCCTGTGGCAGCCCTGTTGGGTGTGTACCCCGGCGCGCAGGTGGGGCCGGTGCACCCTCCCTGGTAGAGCTTGGTGATGACGGGGTTGCACATGTTCTCCAGCTCCTTTCTCTTGTGGTCAAACTCGTCTTTCTCAGCCAGTTGGTTGGCCTCCAGCCAGGAGAGGACCTCGTTACATTTATCCAGTATTTTCTTTTTATCAGACTCGCTGATCTTGTCCTTCAGACCTTCATCGCTCACGGCGCTCTTCATGTTAAAGGCGTAGGATTCTAAGGCGTTTTTGGCTGCGATTTTCTCCCTCTGGCCCTCGTCCTCGGCCTTGTACCTCTCAGCCTCCTGCACCATGCGCTCGATCTCCTCCTTGCTCAGCCGGCCCTTGTCGTTGGTGATGGTGATCTTGTTGGCCTTGCCCGTGCTCTTGTCCATGGCCGTGACGTTGAGAATTCCATTAGCATCGATGTCGAAGGTCACCTCGATCTGGGGCACACCCCTAGGTGCAGGGGGTATTCCAGTCAGGTCAAATCGCCCCAGCAGGTTGTTGTCGCGCGTCATGGCCCTCTCACCCTCATACACCTGGATCAGCACCCCGGGCTGGTTGTCCGAGTAGGTGGTGAAGATCTGCGTCTGCTTGGTGGGGATGGTGGAGTTGCGCTTGATCAGAACAGTCATCACGCCACCCGCCGTCTCCAATCCTAGAGACAGGGGAGCTACGTCCAACAAAAGCAAATCTTGTACTTTTTCAGACTTGTCACCCATTAAAATAGCTGCCTGGACCGCCGCCCCGTAGGCCACCGCCTCATCAGGATTGATGCTCTTGTTGAGATCCCGTCCATTAAAATAATCCTGCAGCAGCTTCTGCACCTTGGGGATGCGCGTGGAGCCGCCCACCAGGACAATGTCATGGATTTTAGCCTTGTCCATCTTGGCATCCCGGAGAGACTTCTCCACGGGCTCCAGGGTGCCTCTAAATAGGTCTGCACACAACTCTTCAAACCGCGCACGCGTGATGGACGTGTAGAAGTCGATGCCCTCGAACAGGGAGTCGATCTCCAGATTGGCCTGGGTGCTGGACGACAGGGTCCTCTTGGCGCGCTCGCAGGCCGTGCGCAGGCGCCGCACGGCGCGCTTGTTCTGGCTGATGTCCTTCTTGTGCTTCCTCTTGAACTCCTCCACGAAGTGGCTCACCAGCCGGTTGTCGAAGTCCTCCCCGCCCAGGTGCGTGTCGCCCGCCGTGGCCTTCACCTCGAAGATGCCGTCGTCGATCGTCAGGATGGACACGTCGAACGTGCCGCCGCCCAGGTCGAAGATGAGCACATGCCGCTCTCCATGACTTCCTTTATCCAAGCCATAGGCAATGGCAGCTGCCGTCGGCTCATTGATGATTCTCAGCACATTGAGTCCTGCGATGACACCTGCATCTTTGGTGGCCTGGCGTTGAGAGTCGTTGAAATAGGCCGGCACCGTGATCACAGCATTGGTGACACTGTGGCCCAAAAAAGCCTCTGCAGTCTCCTTCATCTTGGTCAGCACCATGGAGGAGATCTCCTCGGGGTAGAAGGCTTTCTTCTCACCTTTGTAGGACACCAGCACCTTGGGCTTGCCCCCTTCGTTAATGACTTGAAATGGCCAAAGCTTCATGTCCGACTGCACCACCGGATCGTTAAACTTCCTGCCAATTAGACGTTTGGCATCAAAAACAGTGTTCTGGGGGTTCATGGCCACCTGGTTCTTGGCCGCATCCCCGATGAGCCGCTCAGTGTCGGTGAAGGCCACGTAGCTGGGGGTCGTGCGGTTGCCCTGGTCGTTGGCGATGATCTCCACCTTGCCGTGCTGGAACACGCCCACGCACGAGTAGGTGGTGCCCAGGTCGATGCCTATGGCCATTCCTTTATTAGCAGCCATGGTTTTCCGAGGCCTGTGGAGAAATGAGACTTTATAATCACATTTAGGGGAGTGATTCTTTTAAATAAAACTTAAGCTATTTATTGATCAGTTAGTAACTTTCAAGACATTATTTCTAATTGTGTGTATGCATGTATGTCTGTGTGGGCATATGCACATGAACGCAGGTGCCTGTGGAGGTCAGAGGTATGGGAGGCCCTTGGAGTCATACACAGTTGGGAACTGCCCAACGTGGGTAAGTGCTAGGCACTAAACTCAGGTCTTCTACAAGGAGAGATGTGCTCTTAATGGCTGAGCCCTCTGAGCCCTCAGTCAGTTTTTTTTTTTTTAATTTTTAAAAATTATTTTGTGGGGGCTGGAGAGATGGCTCAGAGGTTAAGAGCACTGGCTGCTCTTCCAGAGGTCCTGAGTTCAATTCCCAGCAACCACATGGTGGCTCACAACCATCTGTAATGAGATCTGGTACCCTCTTCTGGCATGCAGGCACACATGCAGGAAGAACACTGTACATATAATAAATTAAACTTAAAAAATTTTGTATGAACATTTTGTCTTCATGTGTGTATGTCCCCCAGGAGGTCAGGAGAGGGCATCAGATCCCCTGAGACTGGTGGTACAGACAGTTGTGAGCCACCGTGTGGATGCTGGGTATTAACTTGGGTCTTCTACAAGAGTGGTAAGTGCTCTTAATTGCTGAGCCAGCTCTCCAGGTCCATCACTCCGTCTTTTTAAAACCACAAGCATGAAGATAATGATATCCCACACAGAGAAACCCTGTCTCGAAAAACAAAAAAACAAAAAACAACAACAAAGATAAGATACCCCAGGCTCACTGGCCTCCTCTGTACAGAAAGAAGTCCTACGCTGAGAGCTTGCGTTTTTGTGTTTGCTCTTGTTTGGGTGTGGGGTGTGTATGCATGGACATGTGGATTCAGGGCCAACCCTGGGTGTCGTTCATCTGCCAGTCACTGTGTTGAAACAGGACCTCTCTGGCTGGCCTCAAACGCTGGCCCGTTAGGCTGTGCTGGCTGGGGAGCCCAGTGCGTCATCTCCCTTGCCCTGTGATCACAGGCGCAGGCCACTACTCAGTTTGCTGGTCTGTTAGGTGGGCTCTGGGGCCTGAACGCAGGTCCACATGCTTGCATGCAAAAAACATTCGCCCACTGACCTCCCTCCCTCACCTACGGAGGTCATTTTGGGTTGCTATTCAATGTTTTAAGGCAGTGTCTCACTCTGTGGCCCAGGAGGTTGGCCTGGAACTCACCGTGCATCCCAGGCTAGCTTCAAACACGGCAGCCATTCTCCTCCCTCAGCTTCCCAAATGCTGGGGTGACAGACACGAGTCACTTCAGTAGGCTCCTTTCTTTACTAGTGTCTGAGCTATCTCAGACTCCCCACAACTCCTTGTTTCCCCCTCTTGTAAGAAATGGGAAACCAGGAGAGAAAAGTGCTTGGCCTCAGCTTTAAAGGTGTCTGGTGCTAATAGTTTATACATTATACGAGTTTGCCACTCTGAAAAATATCAAATAAACATTGTCAAAATGCCTGCTCCACCCACCTTTCACTGTCTTTATTCTTTGAACTCATCTTTGGGATTGGTTCTGGGTTTGTCTCTGTGTGCTGGGGGGTGGAACCCAGGGCCTTGGAGATGCTAGGCAAGGGCGGCGTCACTGAGCTGCACCCCAGAGTGGCTATGTCTCCCCTGTAGTTGTGTCTCACAGCACAGACCCCGAGACCCTCGGCAGCCCCCAAGGCTCCCGCGCGTCTTTCTCTCTGGCTTCTGCAGTTTCTTGTCTACCAGATGTCATAGGGCAGGACAGGCGGGTCAACAGCAACGTGACCCGGGAGGCAGACACAGGCCACTTTCCACCACCAAGCTGGCTCCCTGTTTAGGCTGAACCTTGCCCTAGTAGGCTTCATGAAGGCTTAAATTTAAGTCAATAATGAACCTTCACCTACATTCATTTTGAAATACTCTTTATAACAGGGACTCTTTTCCAAATGGGTCTCCTCATGCTCCCTGCTAGGTGGTGCCTCAGCCCCCTCCTCAGCCTCCAGAGTAGCGGGGAGTGGGATTGCATTAACCACTGCTGTGCTTCCCACCATGAGTGGAATGTCGGGGATTTGTCTACTCTTAGCCTATACAACTGGAATTACACAGCATTTGTCTGTTTATGGCTGGCCTTATTTCACTCAGCAGTGTCCTTAATTCTCGTCCATGAGCTTGCATATTTTGGTACTTCTGAGACTGAACAATGTCCATTCTGTGTTTCCCCCACCCTTACACATCCATCTCTGCAGGACACCAGGTGGCTTCCACTTCTCCATATTGTGAACGATGCTGCTGTTAGCCTGGGTTCACAGACATGCCCAGACCTGGCTTTTATGGCAGCGCTTACATGATGAGGGTAGACAACAGTGTTCTCAGCTACTCCAAGGAGGGAAGGAAGGAGGGAAGGAAAGCGGGTCTATATTCCTCTCAGGGCCTGAATCAGCTGCAGTGTTCCTGTGACAGTGTGACAGGTTTACTGTGGGACCACACCTGTCCACCAGTCTCCTAAGACTGTGTTCTGGAACTCCTTAAAAGAGACATTAGGGGCCCAAGAGATGGCAGTTAAAAATGCTCCCTGCTCTTCCAAAGAACCTCAGCTGGGCTCCCAGCACCCACAGTGGGCAGCTCAGGACTGCCCGTTACTCCAGCTCCAGGGGATGAGACAACTTCTAGTCTCTGGAGACACTCGTACACACCACACATACTCACACAAACACACAGACAAACCTTTTCTTTAAAAAGACAGGCACTAGACTCCATTCAGATGTGCCTTCCTGAGCATGGTGGAGTTATGTAGCTCACTCTGAAGATGTCTGCTAGCGCACACACACACACACACACACACACACACACACACACATCTTTTTTTTTTTTAAAGGCTGGGGTCTCGATATGTAGCTCAGACAATGCCCCTGCCTCCATTCCTAAGAGTTGGCATTAGAGGCTTGAGCCTCAATCGATTTTTCTGAGAAGTAGGGCACAACGGAGATTTTCTGTGTACTTTAAGCCATATTCCACCCCCGTAGCCGTCCTTTCTCAACATCTTGAGTGCTGGGGTCACAGGCATGCATCGCTACACCCAGTTTCTATCCTCCTGATTATAACTCCTGTCTTCTGGTGTCAATAACATATTCAGAAAGGTCTTAAGGTGTCGTCTCCCTATTCCCAGCTCAGGCGCATTCCAGCCATGCCTGTCGCTCAAGACACTCTTCCTGGTTCCAATCCTCACCCCAGAGTTAAAACAGCTGGGGTCTGTGTGGGGAGGGCCGCACCAGTAATCCCAACACTCAAGAGACCAGAGCGGCGGGTTCCACCAGACCTCGTGTGTAAATTAATCAGACCTAAGAAGTGTCGCGGCCCTTTTCAGATAAGAACCAACGGGGACACAGCCTTCTGCCCATTCCACCAGGGCCTTCACGGCTCACCTGGCTTCTCTCCGCCTTCGCTCCAGTTTGGAAAACTTGAGGTCGCTGAGCCCCTACGAGCGGGGAGCTCCAGGATCATCCAAACGCGCAGCCGGGGTCCCCCCACCCCCCACCCCGCCCCTCCCGGCAACTTTGAGCCTGTTCTGGGACAGAGCCTGGGATTCCTAAATTAGTTGGTGAGGTCAGAGCCAGCACGGCCATTGTAACGCGACCGGAGGGGGTCACGTCACCAGACACGCCCCTGGGCCTCTGCCCGGGTCACCAAGCGGAGGAGGGGGAGTTACAGCCTCAGCTCGACCCCCACAGTCAGCACTGCGGGTCAGCGGGACCCCCCAGATCACGACCAACTACTGTTCAGAGCACCGAGCTGGCTGTGACCTTTACTGTCCATTCCACGGAGGCCGCCGTAATGCGTCGCCATGGCAACAGTGGGGACAGCTCGTCCCTCCGCCCTCCCCGCCCCCCAGGAACGGAGCTTCTCCAGCGGGACCCAGGAGTGTCTGGAGAGTTCTGGACCGGGGCGGCTCCCTCCACACCGGTGACTCAAAGGAGGCGGGGAAGGCCCACCAGACGCGAAGCTGCTGGAAGATTCCGGTCCCCACGGCCGCCTCCGGCTCGCTGATTGGCCCGGGGGAGGGCGGGCGGGGCCGGAGGGCGCTGCTTAAAGGCGCGGTGCGGCGCGCAGAGCTCCAGACGCAGATTGCAGTCCCAGCCAGGAGTCTCTGGTTCCCGTCGGAGCGCAGAGAAGCGGAGCAGCGCGATCCCGACCCCCTGCCAGGACCAGCCTCCCCCGGAGCCTCCCCGACGCAGAGAGCCGAACCCCGGCAGCGGAGAGCCAGCGGCGCCATGGCCAAGAGCACGGCGATCGGCATCGACCTGGGCACCACCTACTCGTGCGTGGGCGTGTTCCAGCACGGCAAGGTGGAGATCATCGCCAACGACCAGGGCAACCGCACGACCCCCAGCTACGTGGCCTTCACCGACACCGAGCGGCTCATCGGCGACGCGGCCAAGAACCAGGTGGCGCTGAACCCGCAGAACACCGTGTTCGACGCGAAGCGGCTGATCGGCCGCAAGTTCGGCGACGCGGTGGTGCAGTCGGACATGAAGCACTGGCCCTTCCAGGTGGTGAGCGACGGCGACAAGCCCAAGGTGCAGGTGAGCTACAAGGGCGAGACGCGGGCCTTCTACCCCGAGGAGATCTCGTCCATGGTGCTGACGAAGATGAAGGAGATCGCCGAGGCGTACCTGGGCCACCCGGTGACCAACGCGGTGATCACGGTGCCCGCCTACTTCAACGACTCGCAGCGGCAGGCCACCAAGGACGCGGGCGTGATCGCGGGCCTGAACGTGCTGCGCATCATCAACGAGCCCACGGCGGCCGCCATCGCCTACGGCCTGGACCGGTCCGGCAAGGGGGAGCGCAACGTGCTCATCTTCGACCTGGGCGGCGGCACGTTCGACGTGTCCATCCTGACGATCGACGACGGCATCTTCGAGGTGAAGGCCACGGCGGGCGACACGCACCTGGGCGGGGAGGACTTCGACAACCGGCTGGTGAGCCACTTCGTGGAGGAGTTCAAGAGGAAGCACAAGAAGGACATCAGCCAGAACAAGCGCGCCGTGCGGCGCCTGCGCACGGCCTGCGAGCGCGCCAAGAGGACCCTGTCGTCCAGCACGCAGGCCAGCCTGGAGATCGACTCCCTGTTCGAGGGCATCGACTTCTACACGTCCATCACGCGGGCGCGCTTCGAGGAGCTGTGCTCGGACCTGTTCCGCGGCACGCTGGAGCCCGTGGAGAAGTCTCTGCGGGATGCCAAGATGGACAAGGCTAAAATCCATGACATTGTCCTGGTGGGCGGCTCCACGCGCATCCCCAAGGTGCAGAAGCTGCTGCAGGACTTCTTCAACGGGCGCGACCTCAACAAGAGCATCAACCCGGACGAGGCGGTGGCCTACGGGGCGGCGGTGCAGGCGGCCATCCTGATGGGGGACAAGTCTGAGAACGTGCAGGACCTGCTGCTGCTGGACGTGGCGCCGCTGTCGCTGGGCCTGGAGACGGCGGGCGGCGTGATGACGGCGCTCATCAAGCGCAACTCCACCATCCCCACCAAGCAGACGCAGACCTTCACCACCTACTCGGACAACCAGCCCGGGGTGCTGATCCAGGTGTACGAGGGCGAGAGGGCCATGACGCGCGACAACAACCTGCTGGGGCGCTTCGAGCTCAGCGGCATCCCGCCGGCGCCCCGGGGCGTGCCCCAGATCGAGGTGACCTTCGACATCGACGCCAACGGCATCCTGAACGTCACGGCCACCGACAAGAGCACGGGCAAGGCCAACAAGATCACCATCACCAACGACAAGGGCCGGCTGAGCAAGGAGGAGATCGAGCGCATGGTGCAGGAGGCCGAGAGGTACAAGGTGGAGGACGAGGTGCAGCGGGAGAGGGTGGCGGCCAAGAACGCGCTCGAGTCCTACGCCTTCAACATGAAGAGCGCCGTGGAGGACGAGGGCCTCAAGGGCAAGATCAGCGAGGCCGACAAGAAGAAGGTGCTGGACAAGTGCCAGGAGGTCATCTCCTGGCTGGACGCCAACACGCTGGCCGAGAAGGAGGAGTTCGTGCACAAGCGTGAGGAGCTGGAGAAGGTGTGCAGCCCCATCATCAGCGGGCTGTACCAGCAGGGGGCGGGGGCCCCCGGGGCTGGGGGCTTCGGGGCCCAGGCGCCCAAGGGCGGCTCTGGGTCAGGGCCCACCATCGAGGAGGTGGATTAGAGGCCCTTCTTTGCCCTCCCGGGGTCATCTAGGACACGCACTGGTGGCCCTTGAGGACTGCCCTGTGCTGGGTATTGTCAGGGTTGGTCCCTGAGTTCATGCTGAAGTTACAGCCTTTCATAAGGTAATTGAGTTGACTGTTAAATTTTGTATGTTTATATTCTTTATATGCACATTAACATTGCCAGCCTCTCTGTGTACAGTATTTTATTCTTAACAGAGTAAGGGGATTTTGTTCTTACACCTAGTGATGGGTAAAATTTAAAGGATTTTTTAGGATTGAGATCCAGTGGCCTGGGAAGACACCGTCTTGCTGCCCACAGACCAATGAGAGTCTCAGGGTCTGGTCCCAATACAGAGCAGCTGGAGCTGATATTGTCTTCCTTACACTGCAGGCATCTTCGAGACAAACTGGCTTTCAGAAGTCCTTTGCACTATGTATTGCCTAACTTTAGTCTTCTGTACTTAAAACTTTTATTATGTGCTTGTCATTATAGTTTTGTGGTATAACTCATACATTCTTTGCATTAATCCAAGTACTGTAAAGATGGCATTTTCCTGCCACCAGAGAAATCAACACTGCCACCCTGTGTAGATTTTCTTCTTTGCAACATTACAAAGTTAGAAAAAATTTTTTATAACTGAACTATTCAAAATAAACTGTTACAACTATGTCTTCTCAGTGTGTTTGTTGGGAGGTTAGTGAGTTCTGGGTTTGTGTGGATTAGGGATGTCCACGAAAGGTTTTTGGGGAATTTTGTTAGAATTTAAGTGTGGGTTTTCTGTGCTAGGCAGATCTAAGTTGCAGGTTCTCACTTTGAGGATAGGGCTCATTTACGGGAATGTAGGAGTGCTGCTGTAATTACCACTGGTAGAGGGCATCCTGGGGCTCTGACAGCTCTGAACTCTACCCCTGCCCTCCCAGGTGTTTCTCAGCCTGTGGGCCAAGACCCCTTTTGGGGTGGAAGGACCCTTTCACAGGGGCCATCTAAGACCATCAGAAAACTGATATTTGCATTGATTCATAACGGTTGCAAAGTTACAGTTATGAAGTAGCAACGAAAATAGTTTTATGGTTGGGGGTCACCACAACATGAGGAACTGTATTAAAGGGTCGCAGCATCAGGAAGGCTTAGATCCGCTGCTTTAGAGCATTGTGCATACTAGACAAGGGCTTCGTCACGGAGCTATGTAGCCCTCAACCCCCTGGCTGAGATTGTACACTTTGCCACCAGGCA